CAAAGCCCTAAGCCCTAAACCCTAAACCCGAAGCCCTAAACCCTAAACCCTAAACCCTAGACCCTGAACCCTTAACCCTTAAAGCCTTTTGACATGGCACGGTGCCTGGAGGCAGGGAGGCGTGCTCGGCGGCAGCCGTATACTCTGCGAATTTTAATACAAGATCGAGGGTTTAGGGTTTAGGGTTTAGGGTTTAGGGTTTAGGGTTTAAGGTTTAGGGTTTAGGGTTTAGGGTTTAGGGTTTAGGGTTTAGGGTTTAGGGAGGCTTTGGGCTCCTTCTTACTATACTTATAATCGGGAACCTTCAGGAATACTATTGCTGCAGTTCTCAGGTTTTGTTTTTATATTTTGGGGGTTTTCAGAAGGGTTTAGGGTTCAGGGTTCAGGGTCTAGGGTTTCGGGTGTAGGGTTCAGGGTTTAGGGTCTAGGGTCTGGGGTTCAGGGTTTCGGGTCTAGGGTTTAGGGTTTAGGGTGTAGGGTTCAATTTCAGCCAGTACATCAAGAAGCTTGCTCTTCAGCCTTTGAGATGGTCTGACCCAAATCGCGAGGAGCTTGTTCAGAAACTCGTCATGGCATCGCCGGAACTCTTTCATCAGAAAGTCCTGTCTCGGGTCGAGGGCTCTGCGAGCATGCCCAAATCTGCAATTTCCATCCATGTGGACATGCTCGTAGATAATTCTTACTTGCTACATACATACATACATACATACATACATACGTACGTACAGACAGACAGACAGACAGACAGACAGACAGACAGACAGACAGACAGACAGACAGACAGAGCAAAACGGTTAAAAGGTTAGACAGATCCCACACGACAGGGGTTCTGGTACAGGGATATCAAACACCTGCCGATGCCTTGCCAATGGCTGGCTCTAGTCAATCGGGAACTTTGAGCCCGATCCTCAAAACCCTAAGCCCTGAACCCTAAATCCCTAAACCCAAACCTCTAAACCCCAAACCCCATAAACCCTAATCTCAAAACCCTACACCCAAACCCCGAAGCCCGCAACCGTGCGCCATCACTCTTTCCGGCTCGAGGCCTCGTGTTTTTGGGAATATCGGACCAAAGGTACCCCGACAACAAGAGATCCGTCGTAGCCGTGATATCAAGAATGAAAGGAACAAGAAGAGTAATCACAACAACAATAAGAAGAAGAGTACTAGTAATAATCATAACTAATCATAATCATAACAAGAGCAGGCATAGCGATAGGAAGAAGAAGTGCCAGTGCTGATTAAGAAAGTGAAAGTCGTAACAAAATACGAGCAAACACTACTAATCATATATTGATACCGAAATGAACGAACTATGAAAAATAATCTAAGAAAATATCCCTAAACCCTGAACCCTAAACCTTAAACCCTAAACCGTCTCCTGGTTCTGGTGCGGCCTCCCAAAGGGGGCTTTGGCTTCGGCACCACCTGAGCTCCACGGTTCAGGGTCTTGTGTTTGGGGCTTGTGGGGTTTAGGGTTTGTGTAAATGTGCAGGGGCCCTTTTCGGCGCGACAGGCGAACTAGGGTTTAGGGTGCAGGGTTTGTGGTTTCCGGTTTCGGCTTTGTTTTTGGTTGGTTTTGGGGTTTAGGGTTCAGGGCTTTACCCTGCCCTGGAACTAAGGGGTTGTACCTCGCGGCTTGCGGTGTTGCGATCGTTGGGCTTTGCGAAGCCTAGAACCCGAAAACCTTAAATCTTCGGTTCAGGGTTCAGAATTTAGGATTTAGGATTTCGGACTTAGGGTTTTGGGTTTAGTGAAGCGTTAGGATTTAGAGTTGAGGGTTCACGGTTTACTGGTTGGGATATGGAAGTCTCGGACTTAAGGCGTAGGTTGCTTCATAGGCTACCCAGTATCAGCGTGGCTGCCCTTGTTACCTTGTTCCCGCTATTCACGCAGGGTTTAGACTTTAGGGGGACATGCCAAAAATCAACTGGGTAAAAGGATACAACTTGGGGATGATCACGGTTTAGGGTTTAGGGGGAACCCTAAACCCAAGTCTACACGACCCTGCAGGCCTTTGCCCGATAACCCCTTCAACCATCAGCTACAATGCTGGGCGGTCGGCGGGCTTTAAGAATTGGAATAGGGGCTTGTGGGTGTACCCCTGTATATGCGCATACATACAGAAACATATGCATGTATGTATATATAATCAAAGACATATATACATATATATATATATATACACAAATTATGACCCTCAGCCCCACAGCTCTAAAAAGCATGGCCTTTGCATGTAGGCATCAGCGTCCCAAAAGAACACCCCCTCCTCCCCAAAAAAGATAATCCTGAACCCCCGATCCTGCACCCCAACAACTCTACATCCACAGGCCTGCATTGCATGGTCATGGTTTAGGGCTAAACCGCCACGTCCATCCCTCTTGCTGCCGCGCTGCGGAGATACGTTCTTCTAGCTCTTCCGAGTCTACCTCTCGCCGATGCTCCACAATGAACTGGAAGAGTACCCTTGGCTGGGGCCATAAACCCTGAACCTTAAAACCTAAACCCTAAACCGAGGTTCATGTCCTGCAGTTGAGGGTTCCCGGGGCTTCTGGCTTTGGGCTCCTTGGGAATCTATAGCAAGCTTCCACTGTTTTTGTTTGCCGGTGCCGCTGTAAACATAGGAGCCTCTCGCAACTGGAGCCCTGAGTCAGCCCAAAAGAGCTGCAGAATGCGTGGGAATCGGAAAGTTGCAGCTGCGGCATGCAGATCATGTAAGTAGCTGGCAGGCTCTATGGCACAAGCTCTTCGGGGTTTGGTGCGGTTTACAGTTGTGGATGTGGGGTTCAGGCTGTTCGGTCGCGGGTCTGCCGGTTTCCAGCTTCGCTGAAAGTCTTGATGTTGCCTTGAGGCTCGCCTATGAAGCAACAGACATAGGATGGCCTGTATCATCCGATGAAAACGCTTCACAGCTAGTTCTTTGGCTCCTTCTTGGCTTGTGGTCTAACCCGAAACAAATCCCAAACTGCAGGAAACCACGAGCCCAGTGTTGCGAATTCGAAGACCCTAAACCCCAAACCCCAAACCATAAACCCTAAACCCTAAACCCTAAACTCAAGGCTTAGGCCGGAGGCTCGGATGCTTCTTGACTTTTTTGAGGTAGCGGTTCAAGGCCTTGACATGGTCATCGTGCATCTCCCGATCTGGCGGTAGCGGGCTATCGCGGTGAGGAGCCACCTTGGGTGCCTTCGCGGCTTTTGTCGCAGCAAAGGGCTCAGGGTGTGGGTTTAGGGTTTAGGGTTTAGGGTTTAGGGATCAAACCCTAAACCCTAAATCCTGATACAGACCCTTAGGGTTTAGGATTTGGGATCAGTGGAAGGATCCCATATTGTCAAGGCCGCCCGTCCCAGTTGTATCAACACCCGTTTCGGTTTAGGGTTTAGGGTTTAGGGTTTCAGGTTTAAGTTCAAGGTTTAAGGTTTAGAGTTTAGGGTGAGAATTTTGGGAGCAAGGGTTTACGGCACACAGATGGAAAGGCTCCGATTTGGCATTTGGGGCCAACATGAGGGTTTTAATAATTCGATCCGGTTGTGGGGTATCTTAGAGTTCAGAGTATGAAGAACAAAGGAACTATGAGGGCACACTGCTACCAGTATTCGAGCCTCCATAGTAGTCGTTGTGCTTCTCGCTTCGGGTCTTCGGGGCGAAGGCTTCGGAGATTGCCGACAAGAGTACGGCGCGTAAGGCATTTTTCTCTAGACTCCTGAACCTGAAACCCTAATGCACTCTAAAGCCTAAACCCGAGAGACCCTTCTCCTTGAACCTGAAGAGAATGGCATGAAGGAAGGCAGGACTCATCTTGGGGAATAACCCACCTACCTTCATCCCACCCTAAGCCCTAAACCCTAA